TCTTTTTTTTTTTTTTTTTTTTTTTTTTTTTTTTTTTAATTAAAATCTGGGTTGTTACATATACAAATATATATAGATATACATACAAACAAATATATTTATATATATACACATACACATATATAAATATATATACACGTATATATATGTATATATATACATATGCATTTATATCCACATACAAATACAAATATAAACATAAATACTCCTATGTATATATATGTCTATATATATCAAATAAAAAATATACACATATATACATGCATTTATACCAATATATATACATACGTACATACAAGTATATTTATATATATACACATACATATATATAAATAAATATACATGTATATATATATGTATATATATACATATGCATATATATATATATACATACATACATATAAAATAATATATATATATATATATCCATACGCAAATAAAAATATAAACATAAATACTCCTAGGTATATATATATATACATAATAAAAAATATATAAGTATATATACATATATAGGGGTATGTATGTTTATATTTGTATTTGTATATAGATATGAATATATATGTATATATGTGTATTTTTTACTTTTTATTTATTTATTTTTTTTCAGTTTTTTTTTTCGGATATTTTGTTTTGTTTTTTTAATCTGTTTTTTATTTTTATTTTTTTTGTAATTTTTCGGATTTTTTTTTGTATTTTTAAAAAATCTGACGTGGCATGTTGACATGACAAAATTTTTCATGTGGCGTGCCATGTCAGACACCACGTAGCGTGCCATGTCATCGGTTAACGGATATTTAACACCGTTTTCGGATTGTGTAGGAAATTGCAGTTAAATTGGGTAGTTCATGTATCAATTTGACACATTTGATAATTTGGTGTAGTTTTTTGTCAAATTAAAAGTTCGTGTAGGAAAAAATCACAATTTAAACCATCCGTATAGAAAAATGTTATTTTCCCAAAAAAAAAAAATTTCCTTAGGTTTTTTCCCGAAAACATAACAAAAAAAATCAGCACATTTTATATAATATATGAGACAATTGTTATAGAATTTGCTTATAAGCTTACAACCTCAATATATATTTACATAAATCATAAATACCCACGTAGACCGTCATAAAGGTCACGATTCGGGTTTTATTTACAACCGAAAAGTAAATCCTACAATATATTTTATACAAGATTTATTAATTTTGTTTTTTTTTGTTAATCTCAACCAATGGGAGATGGTCTAGCCATCATTTCACCAATACCGACCGGAACTATGGAAACTGAATCTCGAACGCTTGGTCTTCACGTGAAACCCATTTCCATTTCCTCCTCGGTGAGTAGAGAACTCGATTGAATATTCTCTATCACTGTTAATAGCGATTTTCACGAACTGAGAAATCACCTGTTCCCATCTCGAGATTATATCTCTGATTGCCTGTTGCTGTGATAACGTAAGCATCATCATCGATGATGATGATGATGATCCTTGCTGTGTGGACACAACCTTACCCATTATGCTTTGTAACATATTAAGTGTCTTCATCACTTCTTGCTGGTATCCATTCAACGTTGTCTCCATCTATCATCATCCAGAACAAAAAAAAAAAGACAAGCCAAAAAGACTTCGTGTTAGATCCCTGCATGATATTTAGGGCTCGGGTAGTTAGGATTTAGATATTTAGGGTTTTGGAAATTTAGGACTCAGGTAATTAGGGTTTGATTGGATATTTAGGGTTTGGGTTAACGTCAAAGTATGTTATAAACTCACCTGTTGTGACCCCCTGTTCTTTGCTTGTAATATAGCCATTGCTTCCGAGAGGCTTGTGGCCTTTGAAATCATCTCCGAAATGTAGGATCGTGAATCTTTTGTCTCGACCGTTGAAGGGTTAGGGCACGCGTAATACATGTAAGCCTTGAGTTTCTCGAAGAATGTCCTGAACTCTTGTGTGTCGGGAGAGTTCTTCTCCAGTTTCATTATGAAACCTTTGACCTCGTTCGATGTCTTAGCCTCCATGTCTTTTGTCGATTGTAGATTCTCTTGGTTTTGATTCTTGTTCATGGAATCTCCATTGATTCCTTCAACCTCCACTGTTACACCATTAGTAGATTTGGTACTGTCACCTTTAGATCCTTTTCTTTCTTCAACCTGAGTTGTCTCCTTGTTCATGGATTTCTCTCCATTGCTATTGATCTTCACAGTTGCACCATTTGAAGAATTCGTTACGTTTGCACTCTCTCCTTGAACCTCTACTTGTTTTCCGTTCATGGAATTACCTTCTTGTTCTTTACTCTTTACAGGTTTATCGTTCTTGGCTCCTTTATCATCGTATTGCTTCTTCTTAGCCGAGTCTTCGTTACCTTTTGAATCGCCATTCTTGGTCTCTTTCTCACTTCCTTTGTTTTCTTTCCTCTTCTCTTTCATTACGATTTCACTACTTTGCCCTTGACCATTTACCTGTTTTCCCTTCGTGGAATCTCCATTATCGAGCTTGGACTCTTTCTCTTCCATGGATCCTCCATTCTCTACTTGAACGTTTACTTGTTTCTCCTTCATTGAACTTTCACCATCTTCTTTATCCTCTCCTGACTTAAAACCATCATTGCCATCTCCTTTATTCTCTTTCTTCTCCTTCTTCTTCTTATTCACAGAGCCTTCACTTTCTCCTCGAACATTTACTTGCTTTTCCTTTGTGGATTTTCCGCTTTCCCTTGCAATGTCTTCCGACTTTATGCCATCCTTAGATTCTTTGTTTCCTTCCTTCTTCTCCTTCTTAGAGCTTTCCTTTTGAACACTAACTTGTTCTTCATTCTCTTTCTTCATCTTCTCTTTCTTGGAGCCTTCACTCTGTCTTTGAATGCTCGCTTGTTTGTTCTTGGTAGAATCTTTGTCATCTTTTTTGTTCTTTTTAGATTCACTATTCTTAGTCCCTTTCTCCTCTTTCTTCTTCTCCTCCGTCTTTGTAGTGCTTCCTTTAATCTCATCATCCGATTTACCATCCTTAGACTTTTTGTTCTCGTCCTTCTTCTTCCTCTTCTCCTCCTTTTCTCCTTTGTTCTCAACCTTCTTCTTTTTCACGGAATCTGTGTTTTCTCCTTTCATGCCTGCCTGGTTTTTCCCCTTAGATTCTTCGTCGTGCCCTTTATCGTCTTTCTTCTTCTTCTTCTTGTCTTTGTTAGCTCCTTTGCTCTCTTTTCTCTTCTCCTTGCCAGAATCTTCATTTTCTCCTACATCACTTTGTTTAGTCTCTCCCTTAGCTTTGTTCTCATCTCTTTCCTTCTCTAGCTTTGTACCCTTCTCAGAACCTTTGTTTTTTGCATGAATCTCTGCTTCTTTTTCCTTCGAGGAATCTCCATTAATGGAAGCTTCATTCCCTCCTTTAACATCGGTCACCTTACCCGAATGTTGTGAATCTCCTCCTTTGATCTCCGTTGTCGTACCGGCTGTACCCGACTTACCTTGTGCAGAACTTGCGTTTCCTCCTTTGATCTCCACTGTTGAAGCTCCATTGCCTCCATTAACGTCTACTGATTTAGCTTCCGAAGAACTCTCTTTTCCTCCTCCTTTACTATTGATGATAATATCGCCCCTCGAATCTCCATTGCCTCCTTTGATATCCACAGTCACTGATCCTTTTGTTGAAACTCTATTTCCTCCATTGATCTCCATTGTTGAAGCTCCGTTCCCTCCATTAACATCTACTGAGTCAACTTTTGAGGAACTCTCTTTTCCTCCTTTTGTATCGACGATTATATCGTTCCTTGAATCTCCGTTGCCTCCTTTGATATCGACAGTCACCGATCCTTTCGTGGAAACTCTATTTCCTCCATTGATGACATCGACGGAGTTCCTCGTCCTTGAATTCCGACTACTTTCTCCGTTAATCTCCACAGTTGTCGTCGTAGTTTTTGAACTCCCGCCGCTGTCCGAAGCGGAATATCCGTCTCTTCCCCAGCCCGAAACTTGCGTGTTACCTTCGACGACAACTCTCACGACTCGGCTGATCGTTTCTTCCCATTTCGAGATAGCGCTTTTAATCGCGTTCTGCTGTTCGAAGGTAAGATTCATCGATCCATCACCGTTAATGTGCTGTTCCATCAGAACTCTGCCGATCATTGCTTGTAATTCTGTAAGAACTCTAATCACTTCAAACATCTCATTCCTTATGCTTGAACTCATCTGTCAATACACAAATCCGACCTCATAAGTTCTTGAATCATTCGTTTTCGTTTCCGTATAAAGAGAAACATTTTCGTTTTCATTACTTACCAGTCCGAGCCCTCCTCTTCCTGCTCTGAGCAGAATCATCGCTTGGAAGAGCTTATCGGCTTTCGATTTCATCTCAAACTTGAAGCTTTTCCGGCTGTTTCCCCCATTTACGGACGCGGAAACGGAGGATTCGAACTTGAGTAGATCCTTCAGTTTCTCGAAGAACGTACTCAAGGAGTTTGTGGAAGGACAGTTCTTCTCGAGGTTCGACACGAAAGTCATGACTCTGTAAGAAATGTAAGGCTCGATGTCGTTGACCGTCTTCGGAGCTTTCGTGTCGGACGTTAACGGCGGTTTCGCGACGGTGACGTGAGCTGAAACTGCGTTGAGAAGGGACCCTAGGGCGAAAATGGCGGTGAAGCAGAAGAACAATGAAGGCCTTGCCATGGCGGATGATGAAATGATGCTATGTTTATGTGAAAACGGATGGGTTCCTCGTCTGATATTTATAGGATCCATTTCTGAAACTCTAAGTTTAGGTTCCATTGGAACAGATGATTTAGAGAGTTTGATGGAATTTCTTTAGAAAAAAAATAGCAAAAAAGGGGCTTTTGTGGTTATGATTTAAAGACACTAAAAGTGGTATGATTGAATCATAGAACCATATGGTTCTTGGTTGAAGGCAACAATCATATTGATTTCAAAGTATATTTGGAAGTGTTTGCAATTTGATTTCATGGACCCGTTTTTGGTGTAATTAACCCATTTTAACTAGGGATGTCCAAATGGGCTAACTCTTGAGTTTGTTCGTGACCGATAGTGAATCAAACTAGTATTTTTAAAGTTTGTTTGAAAACGAGTCTAATGAATCAGTTCACACAATTCGCGATAGGGATAGACATTGGTTGAGTATCTGCGGTTTTTGAGATACCCGTCTTCGTTTTCATCTTCACGGGTTTTATAAAAATATTATTTTTGTCTTTGTCTCGCAACATCCGGATCCATCGCGAGTTTGAAAGATAACTCAACAAATCATGAGTTGACTTGCCAATCAAGGTGTTTTTTAACATTTTTTTATATTTAAATTTGTATATTTTATAGAACGTTAATACTTAATTTATTTTTTATTAATATTTTAATATTTAAATTTAATATTAAAATATCATTTTATTCGATTTTTATATTATAAACAAAAATATTATATTTATTTTTGACTTGCGAACATATCCACTTAGCTCAAAAAATTAATGAGTCGAAACCTGACTAAGTTAAACTCATGATGGAACCGATTTGTTTAACACCCTAATTTTAAGTCGAAAAACTCAGAAATGAAATGTTGTACGTACTTCGGTAGAATTATGCAAAGTGAGAGACCAAACTCTTATTTATTTCTTAAATTAAATTTCTTACCCATCTCTAATTGAAGGTCTTGTTTTTTTTTCTTTGGTTAAAGAATTAATATTTTGTTAAATTGAAGGTCTTGTTGTATGTTCAATATCTTATATATATATATATGTCAATGAAAATGATGATCATCATATAATACAATCCCTTATATTAACAACTAGGGACCAGGGACCGCCTCTTACGTTGGGGAATGGGCATGGATCCAAAGTGTTGCTTATGCGGAGGGGTTGATGAAACGCATGATCACTTATTTCTGCGTTGTTCTTACAGCACATCGCTCTGGAACGATATTGCAGGACGATGCTGGAGAGACCCGCCGACGGGGATGGCGGATTGCGTGGCATGGATCATGTCGGACCGGCTAGTTATTGTGAAACTCCTCTTGCTGATGGCGACTTACATGATTTGGTGGGAACGTAACAATCGCACCTTCAAGAATGAGTCTAACTCATTGGAAAAGGTACGATGGAAACTTGATAAGGCCACACGGAACATCTTGTTGTCTTTGCGGTTGGAAAGAATGAGAATATCATGCTCACTTCTGGAGAATTGGTACTATCTTATGCGGCAACCAACGAGTTAGGACTGATATTTTGCTCTTGAATGTCTTTGTACTTTTGACCATTTGCAATGAGAATTCCTTGTAATTTTTCATTTCGGTTGACAGGTTAAATACCTGGTTGTAACAATCTCTGAACTTTTGATATATACACAATCACATTAAACAAAAAAAAAACTAGTTGTTGTTAAAACAAATTCTAACTAAACCCATTAATCTTAGTTCTAATAACAAAGAGAGAAACATTTCAAGGGGCGTCCATGAATCTCTCTTTGATTTGTCTGTTTTCTTGTAACAATTTTCTCATCTCCCTATTATTAGATAAATCAAATAAAAAAATTTATATAAACACCTTCCACCCCAACGTACCAATTCGCAATCCCTTCACATCTTTTCTTTATTTTTGTGGTTTTTTTTTAATTTTATATTATTCAATAGTTTCATCAATCGATACAACCATGGCAAGGATTTATCTGTTGTTCTCTCTCGCCTTCGCCCTCGCCGTGGCCTCCGTCTCCGGCCACTCCTCAGCCTCGGCCTTAGTCAAGAAAGGCCAATACTCTCCTCCATGCACAGTGGAACAACTCAAGACCTTACCCTTTGTCCAGATCAAGAAATTCATCGATTTGAAATCGAGTTCTGTCCTAAAAACACCTGCCTTGTCTTCGACATTCTCCGCCTGCAAGGACTACACCTCGTTCTTGGCCGAGTTCTCGAAGCGTGGAGACTTCGAGTTCGCCTTCCATGGCCTGGTTTCGGCCATATGGAAGGCGAAATTCCTGGCCATGAGGCAATCGCTCTTGGCCGTTCAGACGGGTTTCGGCGTGGGAGGGAAGGCATCTCTGCAACTGAAGAAGAACTACGAGGGAATGGTGAATGGATTTGCAGTGATTCCGGCCAAGATCGCAGAGATATCCGCCAGGCATCAGTTCAAGGCCAGAGCTAAGCTCACCGTCCAAGAGAAGAAAGAGTTCGCCGCCGTTTTCGGATCGTTCAAGAAGTGCTTCAACAGTTACATTGACGCCATTGCCAAGTTCTCCGACAAGAAGCATGTTTCTGCCGGAGGTATATATACATATATACAAAATGAGACGTTAAATACATTATATAGATATTTGACATCTTCTTGAATATTCTCGATATCTCTTACACAGGACAACTGGGAGGACAGATCGGGAAACACTTGATCGGGAACGGAAACTTCTTTCCGGGGATCGGAGGCAAAGCTGAGTTCTCGGCCTCGGCCTCGGGAAAGGTCAACGTCCATGGGAAGAAGAAGAAGAAGAAGCCTCATCACTAGAGGAGGATTATCAATCTTGGCCGGAGGAAGATGGATTCTAAAGGTCATTGAAGCGTCCGTACGAGAAACATATTTGGATGAGTTGAAGGCTTATAAAATGCCATATTCAACAACAGACGTAGGAGCCATGGGTTCATCTACTTATATTCTTTTATTTGTTTTTTTTTCCCTCCTAATAAGGAAGGGACACGGCGAGCCATGATATGATTTCACAAATTTGTAACCATTTTAATGCAATATTCCAATGACGTCAATCCATAAATATATATATGAGCAAGAAAATGAGAAAACTTAACTTACAATGGGTAGGGTAAGAAACAAGCTAAAACTATGGTTACATTGTTACGACTTTACGGTTCGGTGAAAATGTTAAAAAAAAAATAAAAATCGTGAATTATGACGAGGGATGATGACCATCTTCAAATTAACCAAGGTGTTTTTGTTTCGGGAAGGGTTTTATAGAAATATTATTTTTGTCTTTGTCTCGCAATATCCGGATCCATCGCGAGTTTGAAAGATAACTCAACAAATCATGAGTTGACTTGCCAATCAAGGTGTTTTTTTAACATTTTTTTATATTTAAATTTGTATATTTTATAGAACGTTAATACTTAATTTATTTTTTATTAATATTTTAATATTTAAATTTAATATTAAAATATCATTTTATTCGATTTTTATATTATAAACAAAAATATTATATTTATTTTTTACTTGCGAACATATCCATTTAGCTCAAAAAATTAATGAGTCGAAATCTGACTCAGTTAAACTCATGATGGAACCGATTTGTTTAACACCCTAATTTTAAGTCGAAAAATTTAAGTCGAAAAATGTTGTACGTACTTCGGTAGAATTATGCAAAGTGAGAGACCAAACTCTTATTTATTTCTTAAATTAAATTTCTTACCCATCTCTAATTGAAGGTCTTGTTTTTTTTTCTTTGGTTAAAGAATTAATATTTTGTTAAATTGAAGGTCTTATTGTATGTTCAATATCTTATATATATATATGTCAATGAAAATGATGATCATCATATAATACAATCCCTTATATTAACAACTAGGGACCAGGGACCGCCTCATACGTTGGGGAATGTGCATCGATCCAAAGTGTTGCTTACGCGGAGGGGTTGATGAAACGCATGATCACTTATTTCTGCGTTGTCCTTACAGCACATCGCTCTGGAACGATTTTGCAGGACGATGCTGGAGAGACCCGCCGACGGGGATGGCGGATTGCGTGGCATGGATCATGTCGAATGCCAATAATACCACAAGGGACGGGCTGGTTATTGTGAAACTCCTCTTGCTGACGGTGACTTACATGATTTGGTGGGAACGTAACAATCGCACCTTCAAGAATGAGTCTAACTCATTGGAAAAGGTACGATGGAAACTTGATAAGGCCACACGGAACATCTTGTTGTCTTTGCGGTTGGAAAGAATGAGAATATCATGCTCACTTCTGGAGAATTGGTACTATCTTATGCGGCAACCAACGAGTTAGGACTGATATTTTGCTCTTGAATGTCTTTGTACTTTTGACCATTTGCAATGAGAATTCCTTGTAATTTTTCATTTCGGTTGACAGGTTAAATACCTGGTTGTAACAATCTCTGAACTTTTGATATATACACAATCACATTAAACAAAAAAAAAACTAGTTGTTGTTAAAACAAATTCTAACTAAACCCATTAATCTTAGTTCTAATAACAAAGAGAGAAACATTTCAAGGGGCGTCCATGAATCTCTCTTTGTTTTGTCTGTTTTCTTGTAACAATTTTCTCATCTCCCTATTATTAGATAAATCAAATAAAAAAATTTATATAAACACCTTCCACCCCAAAAAATAAAATTAAAATATTAAAAAAACAATTGTTCGAATATTACAAAAATATAAAATATTTTCAACAATAATAATTAATTTGCACTACGGGTTTCTTCGTCTTCGCTAGTCCCGAGATTACGTGCCGTCGTTTCTGATCTCGAGCTTGGCGGCGTATTGTGGAGTGGCCGATCACCCCGCATAAGCTCAACGATTTGTTCGAGATTAGTCACTTGTTGCCTCGTCGCCGCAAGTTGTTG